CTTTGTATTTCCCTACACTGTCAGAAGCCAAAAGTTGAGTCACAATTCTGTGAGCTATTTAGTCAACAGAGCTGTATTGAATAGTCAGGAAGTGAAGTTTGGAGACCTTAGCTAACTTTCTTAGCACTAGGCTCGAGTGACTCCTTTTTTCCTCTGCTGATAGTCACCACTGTGAACAAAGCCTCTGTCTCATCTGTCACTCAATTGTCATGGTACAGTAGTCATAGGAGCATCCTTTTTGATACATCTTTTTGTTTGAAGAACACAGTCAAAGTATCTTAATGGTTTTGACAGTATTACAAGTGACTTCAGAGGAGCACACTCAGAAGGTTAATGGGTTCGACAGCATCACAAGTGATTTAAGTCACCCATATAGAACTTCTGCAGCTGTCTTCTGAAACAGCCATAATCTAACATCCTTTAAGAAGACCATAAAGACTAGTTTCCCCCTAAGTCAAACTTGTTTGGAAAGAAACTGAATTCAGTAAGTGGCTCCCAAAATAAGATTCCCACCTCTGTGCATAGGCAGAGACATCCTAGCACCCATTTCACACAGTTTGCAGGTTCCTATATTAGGCTCCAAGAAATATGGCTAAACATAGGACCTTCTAGTTTTGGAGAACTTCAGGAAGATGGGCAGTGTGTAGAGATCCCCAAATGACGGTCCAGAGGTACCCTGGCTTGCAAAGTTTCTAAGAACAGTTCTGTCCTGTACGGAAGGGGAGGACCAGCAGCCCTCTGCTTCATTGGACTTTCTCCCAGATAGTTCTTAGCATTAGGTGTCTTTGGTTTATTAAGAGCTCATTGAAAGATTTCAAGTGCATAGATTTAAATATTTTTTTCTTAACGACTACTGAATTCCCTTTTCGTTCCTGCCTTCATGGTGGCAAAACAAAATTTTTAAAAGAAAGTAAAAATGAATAAATAAAACCCAAACAATATGACTAAAAATATTGCTGGTATTTGGTCCACTTCAATTTCTCCATCCTCACGGGTGACCCTGTTTCCAATCTCCTGAAGCCTTCTTTGGGTAACCTCCCACAATACCTCTTTAGTTGTCTCATCCAATTCTTTTCAAAGAGTATCCAATATACCTTAGGTAGCAAGGCCACCAGAGTATGTATTGTTCCTTGGCCCTTTATCCTTCCAGTTCTCAAAGGATCAAGCCTTCCACTAGGGCAGAGCATTGCCTCAGGTAGGCTGCTTCCCTTATACTGGACAGTCACCACCCCCATGCTCTTGCTTGTATGCTTCTTTCCTATTCACAGGCTCTGTTCTGCTCTGACAGTGAGCCTGGCAAGCCGGGAAAATTCCCAGGGCAATGGGCAAACTGCTTCCACATCTGAGGCCATCCATAGCTCCAGGCCTGGGGGTTGTGCTTTCTTCAGCTGTGAAGAGATGCTTTTTTCAGAGCACAGCACAGATCCCTCTGACACCACTCACTCGTTTGTTATTGTTATGGCTGTGTCTAGATTTCCCCCCAAAGCCTCACGTGGTCATAGGTGGAGCTTTGTGGAGGTGGCTGGATCTAAGGTATGATGCTGAAATTAAGGATGTGATGCTGGTATTGATTCATAGTGAGATGCTAGGATTAAAGGTACCCCACACTGGGTGTGAGTGCTACCCACCCTAAGGGCAGGTAGCCTGGATAGAGTACATGGGAGAGAAAGAGGGATGCTGCAGTAGCTACTTGTCACTTGCTGCTTCTTCACTACTTTGTTGTTTGCTGCCTTCTGCCCACCATAAACTGTTTCTCCTCTGCGATGTCCCCCTACCATGCCACTCTGCCTTGGATCCAGCCAACTACGAAGTGAAAATCTACAAACTGTGGGCTACAATAAACCTTTCCTTTTTAACTTTGGGTGTCAGGTATTTTGTCTTAATAATGAGAAAAGTAACCAAGGCACCTAAACATAAAAATTTGTCCTGTAATAATTGTTCTCAACCCTAAATATTGAGTTCAGAAAATGAGATGCCCAGTTCCTTAGGCCCCTCCCCAGCATTCAGCATGGTGTAAAAGGAAGATAACCAAGTAAACAGGTGAGAGTGCCAAGGTAGAGAGCAGTCAGCAGTGTGCAGCACTCTGTCCTCACCAACAGCACTACTATTACCTATACCAGCCACTGCAAGTCTGATGCTCTCCTGCTGAAGAGACTGCGTCACTCCTAGGACCATAAACACCAGGAGGTCAGGTTCCAGGGAGAACAGATTCTCTGTATTCTTCCAAAACCATTGTCACCACAGCACATGCTTGACTCTGTCACTACTAAAACAGCAAGGCAGGAGTGGTGGAAAATGATCAAGAAAATGAGGAGCCAGGGCTGAGAGCTACAGTGAGCCAGGGAGAAGAAAAGTGGAAAGCTTGTGGGATTCTAGAAAGAGTGAGGGCTCTAGAGCTGGATAATAGTGTATGTGGCTATGAGGCATGAGAACGAGGCTGTGGATCAGGCTCTGGCAGGCTGGATGGAGCTGGTAGCTGTGTGCATAGGGTACAGTACAGACAAAGAGTATGTAATCAAGAATCAGAGCAAAAAGCCAAGGAAGCGAGTTGTTAGGACAACTTCAAAATCAAGGAACGAGCGGCCTTGCAGAGACTGAAAGGGGCCAGGCAACATAAGAAGAATTGCTGGCATCAAGAATGACCTAGATGACAGGTCTCTGGTCAATGTTTTTGTAAGATTTCTGTTGCTGAAGCATCTTCTGGAGCTACAGAAAGAAAGTAACCTGACTGATATATGGAGGGGAAGAAAAAGCACTAGCTGGGGATGCCAGGAAGAAGGAATGATGGGTGAACCGAGGCCGCTCACAGTGCCTGAGGAATACTAGAACACAAAATGGCAGAGCCAAATTGGGCACTGGAAATGGCTGCAGAACTAGAACGGTCTCGGTATGGTTCATCCATGTTCCCAAATGGAGTCCTCTCACAGAGACCCTGCCTAGAATATGAAGACAACATGTCAAGGTGGAAAGAATGTGTGACTTACAATCAAACAAACTCTAAATTCAATTCTGTCTCTGACTAGCTGCGATTTCGGGCAGGTTACTTAACTATTCTGAACCTCAATTTCCTCATCTGAAAAAATTAGGCTGTTTTGCAAGATTTTGTCATAAGGTTTTGTAGTAATTAAATGTGACAGTAACCAGAATACGTGGCCAGACCCAGTATTCAATAAGTGAAAGGTATTGTTATTCTTGCAAACAGCCATGGTAGCGTGTTGTGTGTAGAAACATTCCTTACATATATCATTAATGACAATAATAATAATAAAATTAGCATAGACAACCCTAGACCTTACAAGCTAATCTGTTTCTAGTTAACATCTGAAAATCAAACTATAAGACAAGGTTGTTTAAAAAAGACCTTTCAGCTTTACTCCAAACCCTGAGGCAATGCCTAAGCTTGATGTTATGCCACAAAGTGAAACCATTATATCTTTTCTTCTTTCCTCCCTCCCTTCCTTGGTCTTTGCCTCCCTTCACTTATGACCAGCACTGACTGTGCCACCCTGGAACGTACTTGGGAGGGACTCAGCCCTGGTACAGGCCACATTTTCATTTTCCTCAGGAAGTGGTACACAGGTTTGGGTGCTTGGTGTGGGGTGAAGGATGTCTTGAATATGAGAAAAGGGTAACAAAATTTAGAAGTCGGATGGGGTTATGTTCATGTCCCATCTTCTTATTGGAGAGCTATCTCCATTTGTGCAGGACTTTCTAACCTTTATCCATAAACCATCACCTTAGACAGGACAAACAGCATCATGCTGGGTTCACAGAGAGGAAGTGAAGAGCCAAGCAATTCTGGGGACTGACTGTAGGCCACTCGCTGTGAGGCGGCAGAACCTGGCCAGAACTGGGCCTCTGGATTTCTGACCTGATGCTTGCCCATTACAACTGTTCTGTAATCTCCGGGTCAGTGTAGCAGGTTCATTTATTTCTTAAAATACATTTATATTTGATATTGTTTTTATTCAAAAGCTCGAAGTTCTTAGGTACCTTGCTTTTGGACTGACTTTATTTGATTTTGTTAATATTATGAGTTTTGAATTTATATGTGGAAAAGTGATCTCAAATCCAATAATTGCTTATTATTATGTAAAATGATCTAACATTTTCATGAAGAATTTTAAAATGAAAATAATATGTGCAATATTTTATTGTTAGGAAATATTTCCTTTCAGGGACTAGTAAATCATTCACTTCAGTGCCTTCAGAGATAAATTATTCATTACAGAAATGCTTTTATGAGCAAAATCATATGATGCTTATTTGACAGTTTAGGGTTCTATAGGACTGCACATTATAATTTTTAAAAATTGGAACTTTTGCTTCTTACAACCTAAGAAAACAATTCACTTCTATGTGAAATAAATGTACTGCTTTATTAAAAGTTTACGTTGTTTGCCATAAACTATGTCAAAATGAGCCAACTACAGAAATCTACAGGGGATAATATGTTATTTATTATCCAAGGAGACATCTCAGGTTCAGTGGGCAGTTCAGCCACTTTGAAAGTCTTTAAAGTTTTGCAGTCAAGTTATCTGGCAATGTTCACCACCAACTTTTTCATCTAAGCAGATACACTGGTACCAGCCAGCTCTCTTTTCAGACTGTTCAATGTCATGTCAAATTTATAGTTACAAACACACACTTTAATTCCCTTCCCAGAGCAATTGTTTTAGAGCTCATGCATTTTGTCCCTAATTGAATTTTTAGCACCAATTAAAAAAAAAAAAAAGAAATCCCCAATTGAAATAAACTTCATTTATAATCAGGGAATGAAGCTTTGTTCATAGTAAAAATGGACTGAGTGAAGTATCTTCAATCTAACCAGAGAGAAACAAATTCATCCCAGTTAAAGAAACAGCTGAGGGCTCAGGATGTAACTTATCTAGCACATGTGTGGTCCTCGGTTCCATCCCCAGTACTTTAAAGAGAAGAAAAGAAACAGTTCCTTTTGTTCTGTCGATGTTTTACTTTACCATGTACACACGATCACTTACCGAGGGGCAGAAATGCGAGACGGTTTCCAGCCATGGAGAGCTCGCTGAGGCTGGGCAGCTGGCAGAGGTGGCGTGGCAGAGACCACAGCTGATTGCGGTCCACAGTGAGGTACTGCAGAGAAAGGCACAGGTGAAGCCTCTCGGGTAAAGTTAGCAAACGATTGGTAGAAATGTCTAGTGTCTGCAGCTCCTTCAAATCGCCAACCTCTACAATCAAAATCAAAATTAAGATAAATTGCACCCCAATTAACTTAAAGGGAATAAAACAAATTCATGATAAATGAAAGCAGTAGCTAGAACTATTTTTATAGACGTAAATGTGGAAGCAATGAATTTAGGGCTAGTGTTCTAGTATTCCTACTTTGGTGGGGTCTTTAATTTAGCCTGTCATAGAATTTCTAAAATCAGGAAAAGTACAGGCATGGGGGAAGGGGAGACACAAAGCAATGAACATGAACTAGAAATCTGTCACTAATGAATCTAAAGTCATTGCTAGGGTGAGCAAACAATCACAGTCAATTCAAGGAACTTGGTCTCTGCTATTCAATTTAATTTCTATCTGAATAGATAATAGGAGATTTGCAAATTATAAAATCCAAGTAACTACAGTGGTTCTTATGAACTAGACAGAAGACTTCTGAATTAAGAATTGGAGTGTCCTTTGGAAATTTCCACTACAATAAAGTTTCTCCTAAGATGAAATTAACATAAACAACATCTTTAGATACTGTCCACTATGCGGCTCATTTAAAGATTCACTTGAAGTGTTTGTATCCTATGAAGATATACTTTAGTTCCACCCAAATTAAATCCTTCCTTTACTCCAACATTCCCTCCTCACTGGTATCTATAGTTGCAGCTGTTCTATGGTGAGGACAATCGTGTGCTTGCCGAACCATGAAGTCTTGAGAAAAGACTGGGAAGTTCTTTACAAGGAACGTAGTTTTCCTCAGGGAACACTATCATTTTAGAGGAGGACATCTCCTCTATCCCAGGACAAAACATTCTATCCAGGCTCTTGGTAAGTACCAGACAGGAAAGCCAATTTTATCTCCATCAGGGACACTGTGTTAAAGACTGCGATGATGCTAGCTCTTGACCTCCTCCAATCTGGACCCCTTTCCTCTGAGGTTAAACTTTCTCATCCTGCGACTGCACTGTACCCCCCAGGGACATGTTAGTTGTGTTAGGGTTTGGGATGAGCATAAGCAAAATCTTCTCTATGGGTGACAGACCATATGTAGCCTGCGAAGCCTAAAAAGTATTTACCAGCGGGACATTTATAGAAACACTTTCTGTCTCTGCTGTAGTCTTACTGTAAGTTAAGAGCATTCTTAGTAACTGGTTCTTAAAAAAATAAAAGTAATATGGTGCCTGCCTCGCAAGCACAAGGACCCGAGTTCAATCCCCAGAAACAAAAATAAATAAGTAAATAAATATAATATAATAGAAGTGAAAAATAATCTCTAAATCTCCAAATAAGGGGAAATTTAAGCAACACACTTCTAAATAAAGCTCAGATAAAAGACGTTGCAAGGAAAATTAGAAAATATTTTTGATCAAATAAAAACACCAACATGAGATATCAAAATCGCTGGGATACAGTAAAGGAAGTGGTAAGTGGGAGATTTAAAGCTTTAATGCCTATATTAGGAAGAAGCTCTTAAGTCCATTTCATAAGCTTCCACTCTGAGGAAGGACAAAAAGTAGTAAACACTAAACACAAAGCAGAAGAGAGGAAATGACAAGTAGTAGAGAGCAATGAAGTAGAAACAGAAAACACATCATTTAAAAATCGATAATATATAAAAGTTTTCTTAAAGGATACAAATTGACACTTTTTCCTAGACTGACCTAAATGAATGAAGGAATGAGTGAAGGGATGCACAGAGGAAAAATGCACAGATCGCAAAACTTGGGAACAAAAGAAGGGACATCACTGTCAGCTTCACGGCGGTATTACGAAAAGTGGTAGGGAGAGTCCTTAAAAATTTAAAAATAGAAATTCCATTCAGCTCAGCTACCCCCTTTCTAAGTTTCTTCCCAAAGGAGTTAAAGTCATATTGCAGGAGCACATGCATACCCATGTTTACAGCAGCAAAAGTCATAAAAGCTAGATCTTGGAAACAGTACACATATCCATCAACAGATGAACGGATAAAGAAAAACTGGTATTTCCACACAGTGGAGCACTATTCTGCATTAAAAGAAGATAAATCTGAGGCATCCACAGGAAAACAGATGCAACTTGAGAACATAATGTTAAGTGAAATAAGAAACACAAACTTAAATATTACACGGTTCCTCTTATAAGAAACATATACAAAAGTCTGTCAAAAATGTATACACACTTTAGGAAAAGAAAAATAGTATAATGTTTTTTCAACGTGTTACTTTTGTATGGGGGACACTAGAGGATGCTGTATGTTGCATAAAACCCATTACACTGCTGCCCCTTAGAGAAGGAGTTGAAAATGTGCCGCAGTCTCGATGACCACAGTTACCCTGGCAGCAGTTCACAAGACTAATGTCTGGAAGCTCATGGTCACCAGTATGAGCACCTCTTGTAATTGGAGAGGCCAAAGGTAACTCATATTAATCTAATGATGTCTCAATAGATTTATTTTCTTTCCCCTGAAGGGTGTACACATTTTTGGGGCAGACTCTGTAGACAGACAGACGACAGAGAAACAGACAAACATAAATGACAGATCAATAGCTAGAGGGAGAAAGAAAGAAAATGAAGACAGATAAAGAGGAAGTAAGGAGAAGTTCAAATAACCTCCCATCTATCTATTAAATCTATCTAAATAATCCTTCTATCTGTTTTGCTGTTTCAAAAATATTTTAAGTGCTAATTTTTACTAATTTCTTTTGTTCATTGAAAAGAAAATTTTGTCCTTTTGTTTCTTCTTTGTAAGAGATAACCTTTTTTTTTGTCTATGATGTGGATTCTGAGTAACATTTGGGCCATTCTTTTAAAGATCATGACACACAATATAGTAACCATTGTTATTCTCTATTTTGTTATGAATTTTTTGTTTTATTTTTTCATGGAAATAAAGTGCTTTATATTATTAATTCTATTATATTAATTTAAAAAAACTATGCCAGTAAAAACATTATAAGGGCATACCATAAATAAATTTATTCCATCAAATTGGCAACTTTGATGAAATGAACATATTTCTGCTTGCCAAGTTGAAGAAATGTCACAGATACTAAAAAGGTGAATTAGAAACTTTAAATCTTTCCACAAAGGGAAGCCCTGGTCCAGGTGGCTTTTCTATTCTATTAAATATCTTTTAAAAAAATAATACCAATTCTTCACAAACTCTTTCAGAACTTAGGAAGATAAGCTTCCCAACTCATATGAAACCAGCATTACATTATTACTAAAGCCAAACAAAAACATCCTCAGAAAGGGGGTCATGACGGATCAACAGCCCTCATGAACATTTATGCAAAAAATCCTTCAAATATTAGTAAACAAAAGCCAGAAACACATAAAAATAATAGTATATAATGTACAAGTGGGACTGACAAGGTGTTGGAGGTTCCAGCAGTGGCAATAAGGAAAAAACAAAGAGAAAGTACCAAGAATGGAAAGGAGGCAGAAAAGCTTTCTTTATTCATAGCTGACGTGATCCTTAGACAATTCTAAGGGATTCACAACTGTTAGGACTAACAACTATTAGGACTAACAAGGACTAACGAGATATACATTAAAGAATCAAATGTATTTCTGAAAACCAGGAAAAACAATTTAGAAGTGAAATTTAAAAAATAATTATAGGGAGATCTTCGGAGGTGTTGGAAATCTGACGTATCTTGACTGAGACTGTATCACAGAAGGGTGAATTTTCTTATATGTTAAAATAAAAATAAAAACTAACTCAAGAATTTTCTTCAAAAATAAAATTATTCTGGAGCTGAGGATTTAGCTCAGTGGCACTGTGGCTGCATCGCAAGCACAAGGTCCTGAGTTTGATCCCTGGTACCAAAAAAACAAAAACAAAAACAAAAAAAACCCATATATGTATACATATATATGTGTGTGTGTGTGTGTGTGTATATATATATATATATATATATATTCCTATATATACATATTCCTAAATGTTCAAAATAATATATAGTTTATTAAAGCAAAACTTCAAAAATTGTCATATATCAATTACCTGAACTTAATAAATAAGTACAATAGTTATTTTTGGTATAAATTCACATAATTGAATGCATTTCTTAACTGTTTTTATTTCTAATACAGAGTCTCTGATATTTTTCTGTAGTGTCTTTTTTTCAATATAGTTTTGTGCTTCTTTTTCAGGTATTTATAATTTATTTTATCACCAATAAATTTAACATTGATATCTTCATAAATATTTATTGCCAGGCCATCTTCAAATTAATGAAGCATTACTGACATCAAGTCACACAGCACAGTTGTTTTGGAGTCCTGGTGGATCCCTACTCTTTTCAGCTGGGCCCCTTGGTTACCACATGTCTCTCCTGCTCAACCCCAGGGGAAGTAAACAGCACCTTGTATACCTTATTTCCTTAATGTCCTTGGAACAAGCCTAACTTCAAAGTTGTTGACAACATTTATTTTTATGCTAAATATATAACACCCTAAGACTTTTCAGCTTATAGAGTATTCTGAAAATTATTTCATTGTTATTATTTTCATAGTAATTACTTAGACTACGCATAAAAATAACATTAGGGTACCAATTTCAAAGGAAAAATCACCAAATCCCCTTTAAATCATCATTCTGGATGATGTACACTGACTGAACCTAAAATTTAAATGGATGGGAAGGAAGCCACCCACTCCAAGCCAAGCCAGTGACCACAGAGAGTCAATAACAAGGCTGGCTATTTTCAAACTCTGGCTTTTTCCGGAACCACTAAAAACAGCTCTAATTTAAGCTCCAAAGCACTCCTTCCTAAGGAGAACATACAAAGAAATAAAAAATATTTCCAGGCCAAATTTCATTCTCTATATGGTAAAAGCAGCTGCTCTGTATTCATTTGCTTTCTCTTGATGTAGAACATATATAATCTGTTATGCAGAAATAGATTCAACCCATAATCCTCTCATGGATTATGAATCGTGCAACTCTGGCTTAGTCAATTATTTACAGCACTGGCTCGCTGTAAACAGACAGACAAAAAGCATCTGTTAAAAAAAAAAAAAAAAGAGG